TGTTTTCACCATGAAGATAAAATAAAGTCCGAAATTTTTTTTNAGGTCAAATTTTTTTTTTTCAAATTAAAGTACATTACATTAGCTTTAATTTAAGATATATATAAAAGTGTCAGACCTTCCGGAACATTTTCAAAAGTTAAGTTGGAAAAGTAAATTTTTTGTGAAAAAGTTGTCATTTTAAATCCCCCCTGTGGGCAGAAAAAAGGTCAAATTTACAAAAAAAATATACCAAATGATAGGTAAAGTCATCAAGCATCTATAAAAAAAAAATTATATTCATATGTTCATTTTTGAAAAAGTTACGGCAGTTTTTAGTAAGAAAAATTGAAAAAATTGAAAAAATTAGCGATTTTTAAATTTGTAATTTTTTTGGAGGTTTCCCCCATTTACGGGGAACGAGGGAAAATTTTTCAATTTTAAAGGGTAATGTCTTCGACTAGATACGATTTGTGATCTTTTGACGTATCGTTGAAAGAAATCGGTTCGGTGAGAGCTGAGAAAAAGTGGTAACAGACACAAAAAAAAAAAAAAAAAAAAAAAAAAAAAAAAAAAANTTTGAAAAAGTGGTAACAGACACAAAAAAAAAAAAGACATCTTAGTAAAACCAATACCTTCTCAGCTTCGCATCGAAGCTAATAAAAAAGTTTAAATAACAATTTAAAAAAAAATCTATGTAATTGTATTGAAAATAAAATTTTAGAGTTCAAAATTGCAGGTGTAAAAAATACACTCATAGCATAAAATTAATTATTTTACATTCTTCTTTATTATTTTCATCGGCATTAAGTTCTATTTTATATTCTTCCATTGTGTTAGTAATAAGAATGTTCATAGCTTCCATTGGTTCTTTAATTTTGTGTTCAATTTTTGTTGGAGGATAATATTTGTTTTCTATTAATATTTTACCCTAAATAGATTTGTACGTTATACAATTGTTTCCTTCTACGTGTAAATAAATAAAATTAGCAAGACTTTGTATTGGACTAACAATTTTGTAAAAAAGTTTTATGTAATTTTTTCTACTTTATATTTATTATTGACGCTTGTATTATCAAGTATAGTTTTATTTATCTAACTGAATGAGTATTTTTAATTTCAAACTATTATATAATAAAATATACAAGAAATATTACATTTTTTATATCATATTTCTAGAGTTGCAAATTTATATTCGAACTATTTTTTTATTATGTTATAATTTTCTAATCTCATATTTGATATTAAAAATTTTAAGTGTATTAAACCCTTTTAAACCTTTTTCTGATTATAAAAACCAATTTTTCCTAATAAAAGCAGTTTTTTCATTAATTTCAAATTACAGAAAACATGCGTCGCACTGCTCGAGATTTTCACTCTATAGGACCTACTTTTTTTTTTCAAATTTAAAGGAATTTCAAATTAATTTTAAAGTCAATTTTGGTTTTATAGATATTTTATTTTGGGTAGCTAGTCTCGTTGCTAATGTCTTTCTTCTAACAAACATCGTGCTGGCAAACAACGTAAAGAAATTTATGAATATATTTTTGGTGTTTAATTTTTGTCTTGGTGATTATCGTGCCGTCTAATTTCAAGGCGTCAGTACCAGGACATATTGGACCATCACAATACCGCCATATAAAATTTTTACATAGATATAAATATTTTTGAATCTTGTTTTGGCCGGGTCAGAGGTTTAAAAAATATTGGTGTCGAACTTTCAATTAAATACAATTTATCAAAAGGATACTTATTCAACAAAATTAAATAAGAGTATACTATTAAATTATATTTATAATAAAAATATATTGTATAGAATTTACATGTAAAAAAATACTAGACTTTGTGTAATGATCTCTTTTCATTTAAAATTAAATCGTTTTTCTAAACAGCCATATTGACTATACAAAGCGTAGAGTATAGCGTGTGAAATTCAGAATGAACGTTAGATTGTTTAAAATATCGTTACGTTACATAGGAACAAGGCAAGTACAAGTTTTATTTATGCTTTAAAATCACAAATAATCTATTGCGTAATAAACCTTTAAGATAAATTATAAAATGTTGTAAGGAATATTTAACATAATTTAATTAACATTATTAAACCCCGAGATCAATCCACTATTTTGTCATAAACGTTTGTGTTTATTTTATATATTTAACCATTACCCTTGTGTGCTCAGCCAACGTTTACTCACCTTTCTATACCTCTTTTTATTATTAAACCCTTATATTTTGTGCCATACTTAACCACATATTATTTCATCATATTTTATTTTATTTTATATTATTAAATTATATATTTACTACATATTATTTTATTCCCTCATACCACTTATTTAATTTTCTTTTAGGCTTCTTACAATGGTATTTTTTTAGTTTCAAAGATCTTTTGATTTATCAAATAAATCCTTTTACCTTATAAGTGTCAACTTTATTTTTTAAATGGAAACATACATATTTAACTAGTTTATAAAATAAAAATCTATTTGAGAAAATTAGTGATCGATAAAAATTCAAAATATAGAGTGGAAGTGAGGTATGAGTTATGATATTTCATCACGAATTTTTTTGCCACGCTCTTACTCCAATCTATATTTAAAAATGTTAAAAACTTCAGATGTATTATTTTAATAGTTAGTTTATAACAAGATTTGAAACTAGCTTAAAAATAGAAAATGAACCATATAAGAAAATGACTATTCAAAAGCAATTTTTGAACCAGAAGATATTCAAATTTTTGTACTTAGGCAGGAGGAATATGGTCGAGAAATTACTAATAATAAAAATATAGCCTCCACCATGAGTCTATATTTTAAATTGCTAATAACTTCCAAAAATTGTTATCGATTAGTTATTTTCTTAAATTGAACAATTTTTATTTTATTAGATAAAATAAATCGTTTAAAACCATTATGACTTAATTTCAGTAATTATTTTGCCATTAAGTCTATTTAACTGTTTAAGTTCTAAGGAAATTAGACATCATTTTTTCTCGTGAAACAATAAATAATTGATAAAAATTAACAATGAATTAAATATTTTTTATTCAAGAATTGATAGAAGTAAATGAACATTATAGAAAAAAACAACATAGGGTAGTATCATCAGTGAAGGAGCACTGCCTGTGAATGAACAATACTGTGCTTTTGACTAAAAAATTGTCTAATTTGATTGTAACGAATTTATTAGTAGTTTTTATTATAAAAAAATTGTAATATCATTAAGTTAGACCTTAGTCAACAAATTTCAACCTTATACCCAATACATTTTACTACAAACTCTGTTTGAATTTTACTTATTTTAATAATAAATTTTTATTATATTTTTGGTATACTGATTCCAAAGTAAAACTTTTCTGCAAAACACCTATCGTGCCTGACGTAGCTGTGTATTTCTATGTACTTAAAAATATTAATATAAAATAGTATACATTTAAAACATCGATTAAAATAGTATTGTAATTTCATGAAAACATGGTAAATTTCATGTAAAAGCAATCGTATTTGGCAATTTAAACATATACAATTGTGTAAACAAAATTGAAGCTATGAACAATAAAATTATTTACAATCAATAAAATATTTTTTTCAAATTCGGCTCTTCTAACATTTCACATACCTTACTTGTAGGGGTGTAGATATTTATTGTAGGTATAACTTATTTTCATGCATAACTTATAGAAGGGGTATTTGGCTAATCTATAATTACATAAGGTTAATTAAGTATAACACTTGAAAACAATATATTTTTTTTAAATTTAAGTTGTTATATATTACAAAAAAATGTACGTTTAACAATATTGAATGCTTATTGATATCACAAATTTTTGATTTTTAAATGCGTAATTAAAAAATTAAGACGTAAGTATCCAAGCGTATGTTTTGTGCATCATTTGTAGGGGCGTAGGTATAAAATTTAAATGTTGTGTCCTAATTTTTCAAAATTTATGTTATACATGACTATGACTATAAAAATTATAGTATATAATATTATGTATATTATTATATTATAAAAGAATATAAATTCGTAAACCGAAAGACATACGAAGATATAAATTATGATAATTGTGTAAACATTCAACTTTGATTAATTGAACATTAAATTTTTGCTAGTACATCGTGAGTCAATACTTATTATGATTATTTTAATAGTTTATGAAAAATGTTATTTTGCTGTTTTAAAATTGGGAATAACGTCATAGACCAATAGTTTTAATGATGATGACTATTTAAAAAAATTATTCAACTAATGCATAATATAAGTTTTTCAATTACAGAGTTATCTATTTTAAATTACTTATAGTACAAAAAATACTTTAGATAAATTTTTTGGCTTATTTAATTATTTAAAATATATATTTTTCGATTTATCAAGTAATAAATACTTTTTCGGTTTATCTCTTCAGTCTTATTGGGGTAAACTTTTTCAACTTATCTCTTGAAAATGTTCCGGAAATACTGACACTTTTATATATATCTTAAATTTAAACTAATGTAATATATTTTGGTTTGAAAAAAAAGTTAGACCTCTGGACTTTATAGTGAAAATGACTGCCGAATTTTTGTGAAAAATATTTATATTATATTTTACATTTTTTAACTTTATGTTGCTATAACTTTTAAAAAATGTATGGATCAATACTATTTTTTATGATAAATACTATATATGTACCTCTTTCATTCGACATTACTTTTTTAAAATGGGACCATTTTTTTTTATACAGGAGGGGTTCAAACCTTTAAATATGCATATAAGAAAGTAGAACTTTTTCAACTTATTTTTTGAAAATATTCCAGAAATATTGACACTTATATATATATATCTTAAATTAAAGCTAATGTAATATACTTTAATTTGACCTCTGGACTTGTCTTCATGGTCAAAATGACTGCCGTATTCAAAAATATGTTATTTTTATGTTAAAATTCTGGGTTTTGTATTTTATTTTATTTTAAAATAATTTACAAGACGAGAACATACATTTTCATAAATATATTTGACATAGTATACAAAGTTAAACTTATTTAAATTTTATTTTAAATTCTTCTATATTTACTTCAACCCCATCATTTAATCCTGTGTCTTACATCAGTCTTCTGTCTACATGTCTTACAATACCACTGCTCTTTTGCCCAACTGACCCTAAATACTTAAAACTTTCTATCTCTCCAATCACGTCCTCGCCTATTACACTGGTCTCCTCATTTCACCTACCTTGTGTTCTCCTTTGCCAAACTCGTACTCTATATACACTGTCTTTCTTTTACTTATTCTTAAACCTTTTTCTTCGATAGCTGATCTCCATACCTCTAGCCTTTGATTAATTCCCTCCCTATTTTCTCCTATTAACACTATATCATCAGCAAACAACATGCACCACGGCACCTCTCCTTGTATTTCTCTAGTGATTTCAGTAACGTTTGTGTAATGTTTCATTAAAATATATAAAAAGATTTGCAAATATTTCTTCTACTAACATTGATAAATTATTTTTTTTAGCCATAGTTTTTTTGTCAAATTAAATTTTAAAGGGGCCAAATGATACTTTTACCCTCCTCGTATTTTGACCAAGAAGATAACTGTCCCCCTAACAGCCGGTTTGGGCACCAATAAATACAAAGTATTATTAAATGGAAATGCTATTTTAAAATTTGATTTTAATAATGTTATATAAAGAATACATGAAACTGTCGAACCAGTGGAAAAATTAGGTTATATTGAAAATTGCATGAACAATTATTTTATAACAAGTTGAAAATAGTCTATTGATAATATGTTTACCGTCTGCCATAATTAGAATATGGAATTATATGCATATAAAAGGTAGGTCACTTTAAATGCTTGCACATTTTTTAAAATTAAATATACGTATTATCTTAAAAATAACAGCTGATAAAGCAACTTCTAAGGGAATATTTGGATTTAGCTAACAAAAATTTTTAAAAATGAGCCCTCATACTCCTGCAACTGAAAACTTCATTTTTGTTGGTTAGTGTAGTTTATTTGGTTTATATAGAATATATGTATTACATTAAATTATAATATATATGTTTATATAAGGAGTATAATGCGATTTCATGGTACATGATTTAAAATTAAAATATAATTTGTTTTACATCTCCATGTTTGTTAACTATAAATATTTTTTTATCGGGCACACGCGAGGATCCATTAAGAAGACAGCTTAGTTAAATACAAAAATAATTCTGAGAAGTATAAATAATATTGTATTAACAAATATGTTTCATATTTGGAAGTTACAATAAAAGCTATAATCTATTAGATTAGAGGTTTTAAAAAAGTAAGTCGTTATAACTATATTTTCTTATTTTAATATAAATTTCAAATTTTCATCTATTTTTTATTGTAATTTTATAGCAGTATTGTCTAATTATTCATACATTTTTTATCCTTGTATTATTTTAGCACATAAAAACAACATTAGTGGATTCTCGGGCAAGGCGAATAGGTAAAGTTTAGAAGTAAAAAACCCAGCACAGGGGGGTCGCGGCACAGTGGTGCCGTGGTATAGTTGGATCAAGTATAATGATATCTGACAGTGATTAAAATCACTATCAAAAATAAACGCTTCGATGCAAATCTTTAGATAGTGTTTAATTTTAAAAAATTGGTGGATTATTCCAAAAGCTACATGATCTGCTGGTTCCTTATTAATATCTTTAATAATTGTGTGGGTCCATACACTTTTCAATAAGTTATAGCATTATAAAGTTAAATTTAATATAAAAAATGAAATCGAGAATTTTCACACGAAAATAGCATTTGGTAGCCATTTTCGCCGTGAAGACAAGTCCAAAGGTCAAAATTTTTTTTTTTAAATTAAAGTATATTACATTAGCATTGATTTAAGATATATATAAAAGTGTCATACCTTCCGGAACATTTTCAAAAGTTAAGTTGAAAAAGTTAATTTTTTGTGAAAAAGTTGTCTTTTTAAATCCCCCCTGTGGGCAGATAAAGGGTCAAATTTACAAAAAAAAAAAAAATAATAGTTAAAAAGTAACTTTTTAAAAATTAAAAATCATTTACTTTACCCAAGTACTCTAATGATAAAGGGAAAATATTAATTTATTTCAACAAAATTTATCTTATTGTGTGTTATTGTAATTTAAAACAAATAAATAAATGAGTTAAACACTTATTTGCATTTAAACTAAATAATAAAAGATTAAAGTTTGATCATTTTAAAAGGTGTGTTGGATTGTAATGATATACATAGTACATCATTAATGTCATAATAAATTATTTGTATACACAATAGATCATTAATGTCATAATGTATTATTTAAGACTTCAATCAATCAATCACACAAAATAAAATGTATACCAATAAAAATAAGATATATACAGAGTGTTCAGTAAGTCAGGAAACGGGTTTCTATTGTTCTCATTGTTTGTAACAATGAGAACAATAGAAACCCGTTTACTAGAAACCCTGACTTACTAATCACCCTGTATAAAACAAACAGGAAATAATAAACAATATGTAATGGTAGCACATAAGATGAAGGGCAATAAACTATGTCTAAATTATTATATGAGATATGATTATATTTTATAATATGTAGATCATTATTGATGAAAATGTAATAAATAACATGTAATAAATTACGATTATTAAAGAAATAACGGTGGCGTCGGGGATTACTTCTTGCCTTTGAACTACGGTCAAATTTAATATAAAAAGCCAAAAATAAAGAGCATTCTGAGACAGATGCAATCAGATATTTCTAGAGGTACTCACAGCGCTCGATCATTTCACACTACGAAATATATGCAAGAAGTGATCCGCCGTCAACACAGTTATATTTGTTCACAAAAAACAACATCTATTTATTTAAGAGTATAGCAGAAAATATCAAGGTAGGAATCTAATAAATTCACCAAAAATAAATAAGGTTTAAAACTAAATATTATGAGTACATAGATTAAGTAGGCATACAGGAAAATCAAGTGATTATCAATAATAATAAATATACCAAGTAAATTTAATAAATCGATAATGTTTGTACAGAGTTACTTGGCAGAGTTATATCGTTGATACGTGTCTATTTCAGGAGTTAGGTTGGAGGTTCATATGTATAGCCACCATACCACTCTGGGTAGACACACGAGGTGACTCAATCCCACCTATCATCGATAACCGTCAAAACTCGTGGCATTATTGATATTTAAGAATTGACAATTAATTATGATAAATCCCATATTAATAAAATAAAGATCACTTTATTTTTCTATCATCTTCTATCTTTCTTACAGACCCTCGTACTCATACCCCGAATAATAATATTATTAATACAATAAAGTAGTGGATCGAATAAGAATCAAAATCCCGTCATATTCTATTTAACTTATTTCTTTTGAGCAACTGTCAAAGTAGCTCCCTAAATTAATAACGCCTTAATTAATATAATATTAACACAATTAAAGTATGAAATTAAATCTTATATTATTCTTTTTTTTTGATTCACTACAGGATATAAGTGAGAGTTACTTTCATTCAGTGTGCGATTCGTGGGTCATAATATAATATAATATAAATATTAACTATCGAACTATTTGATAGTTGTCCACTATTCGAACTATTCGATAGTCATTCAATAATATATAACTCAATCAAAAATTATGTAAAATATTTTTTAACAGAGTTGGGTTATTCGCTAACAAATTTGAAAATGAAACCACTAATAGCACAAAAATGTTTGTAAAGTACTGAACGCTTGTATAAATTTCCTATAATATGGTTCCTGAATAAATTCTAACATAAATTGTAAAACACTTGAGAAATAAAAATATTTAGTTTTTAACCATGAAGTCGTGAGTAGTTCATTTAAAATTAATAAATTAAAATATTTTATGCATTTAAGACATAAACCATAGAAATATTTATTACAATTAACGACTTTCAATATAAATAATTGTAAAATTAAGGTTGTATCAATAAATTGAATTTTTAATCATCAAAAAATAAATTATTAATGTTTAAAACTAAATAAAAACACATATAAAAAAAATGATCTAAAAACAGAAGTTTTTATATTGCTTAAAAAAAAAAAAGAAACAAAATTTAATAGCACTGGTTACTTACTCATAATAAATTCACTCCCTTTTCTTTTCTAATATTTTAATATACTTATATGTATATATATGAGAGAAATCATGTTTATACATTACATTACATAGAAAGTATACTAATTTATTATTAATTCTGTTTTAGGAATAAAAAATGAAGGTTTACTTTTTGATATTACTCGTAACATATGGTACGATTTTTTTACGATCTAAAATTTTCAGAATTTATATACAATTGAGCTTAAACTAATTGTGATTAACAGAAATTTTAATTCCTGATAGAATTTTATAAATATTAAAATCTATTTATTGTACAGTGGAAATATCTGCAGCAGCTGGGATGTTTGACACTGGTAAGAAAACTAATAATATCTAATTTAGTAACTAATTTTTTTTTGCGGAAAAAATTCGATAAAAATTTACAAGCTTTCAAAGTTTACAATTTATTTAATTTAAAATCACGTTTTTATTCCGAATTACAGTATATATTATGGTCGTTAAAAGTTATACGAACTCTAAAATAGGAATTATTTTAAAATCTATATTATTTACATCAGTTTAAATAATGATATATTTGGTTCGTGAAGCAGTAAGTCCATAGTCTTGTAGGTAATTCGGCATACAATCGGGCACCCTAAGAAGAGTTCTCGACCGTAGTTTTTCTTTTCATTTTCTCCATCAACATAAGTCATGCAGTTATGGTCTTAACCTCGAAGTAATAATTTCATGTAGAAAAACATTTTATATTAAGCTGATGTGATATTATATGCGGCAATATTATTTAAAATCGTATCGGCCAACAGTATTATCATCTTTTTTATCCCCCTGACGTTTTCTTAAAACAAGTAGTATATACGCCTATTTTTATACTATTACTAACCACCTCCACTAGATAGTTATAATCGTAAAAAGTAATGTAAGACCGAGTTTCTCAGAAGGAGCTGATATTGTTTTGACGAAATTTGTGTCAATGAATTCAACGACATTTGCCCATAAAATATTCACAATTTAAATGTATCCACAAATATGGTGTGACAAATTGTTTGGTGATATCAATAGCAATCTTAATAAATCAATGATATGTTTGAAGTAAAATTTATCAATCACCCAAATCCTGGTCTTTTTTTCATTGCCCTAAATTGCAGTACAGCATGGGTATTTTCAAACGGGTACATTTATAACTTAAAATTTAACATTGCACATCTAATACAATTTAACTTTCCAAAAAGTTATAGCAATTTAAAGTTAAAAATATAAAGTCAAAAATTTTAATACAAAAGTAGTATTTTTTTAACTACGTCAACCGTTTGCACGTAAAAAAGAAGTGGTTAGTACAAATTTATTAAATAGCTCGTTTTATATGTTTAAAGGACGCAGTATTTCCTGAACATTTTCAAGAGTTAAGTTGAAAAAGTTGAATTACGTAAAATTGTTGCTATTTTGAATCCCTTCTCGTGGGGGGCAGGTAAAAGGTCAGATTTTCAAAAATATTAGATCAAATAAAAGGGAATTACTTAAGGTTTCTATATACAAAAATTATTTTAGCTTCGATGCGAAGCTGAGAAAGTATTAATTTTACCATGATGTGTTTATTTATTTATTTTTTTTTTTTTTGTGTCTGTCACTACTTTTTCTCAGCTCTCACTGGACCGATTTCTTTTAACAATACGTCAAAAGATCACAAATTGTATCTAGTTGAAGACATTACCCTTAAAAATTTAAAAATATTCCCTCGTTAATCGTAAATGGGGGAAATATCCAAAATAATTACAAATTTAAAAATCGATAAATTTTGTCATTTTTTCCACTTTTTTTTCTTAAAACTTCTTAAACTTTTTCAAGAATCAACAAATCAAAATAATTTTTTTTTATACTAAAATCTTCGATATTTACCTTTCATTTGATATTATTTTTTTGAAAATCTATCACTTAACCTGCTCATTGGGGGGGATTTAAAATAGCAACTTTTTTACAAAAATTAATTTTTTCAACTTAATTTTTGAAAATGTTCCGGAAAGACTGCGTCCTTTAAACATATATCAAATTAAAGCTTANCCGGAAATACTGCGTCCTTCAAACGTATATCAAATTAAAGCTTATTTTATGTACTATAAAATGAAAAAAAAAATTTGTCCCGAACACTTNCTTTCGATTTTAAATATTCAACTTAAAATGCTTTAACTTTTTGAAAAATGTATATATCAGCACAAATTTTTTTTTCTAAATACATTATAAGTACATCTTTTATTTGACATGCTTTTTAATAAAATTGGACAATTTCCCTTTATATAGGGGGCGTTAAAACTTGAAATATTGTAAAAAAAATAGATCTTTTTCAACTGAACTTTTGAAAATGTTCCGGAAATACTGCGTCCTTTAAACATATATCAAATCAAAGGTTATTTTATATACTGTCAAATGAAAAAAAATAAAAATTTTTCCCGACATCTTATCTTCTATGTGCAAATGGCTGTCGAAAATTAAAAAAAAATGTAATGTTTGCGATAAAAATCACCTTTTATCAGGATGTTTTTTGTAATTAAAACTGTCATAACTTTTTCAAAAATGAACAAATAAAAATAATATTTTTTTGTATTGACCTTAGATATTTCCCTTTTATTTGATATAATTTTTTTTGAAAATCCAACACTTATTCTGCTCACTGGGGGGATTTAAAATAGTAACTTTTTTACAAAAAATAACTTTTTCAACTTAATTTTTGAAAATGTTCCGGAAATACTGCGTCCTTTAAACATATATCAAATCAAAGGTTATTTTATATACTGTCAAATGAAAAAAAATAAAAATTTTTCCCGACATCTTATCTTCTATGTGCAAATGGCTGTCGAAAATTAAAAAAAAATGTAATGTTTGCGATAAAAATCACCTTTTATCAGGATGTTTTTTGTAATTAAAACTGTCATAACTTTTTCAAAAATGAACAAATAAAAATAATATTTTTTTGTATTGACCTTAGATATTTCCCTTTTATTTGATATAATTTTTTTTGAAAATCCAACACTTATTCTGCTCACTGGGGGGATTTAAAATAGTAACTTTTTTACAAAAAATAACTTTTTCAACTTAATTTTTGAAAATGTTCCGGAAATACTGCGTCCTTTAAATATATCAAATTAAAGCTTATGTCATGCACTATAGAATTAAAAAAAAAATTTGTCCCGACGACCTATCTTCTATGCGCAAATGGCTACCGTATTCAAAAATATGCTATTTTAACAAAATTTTTTTTTTAAATTAAACATTATCTACAGATTTGCATCGAAGCGTTTTTTATGATAGTGATTTTAATCACTGTCTGATATCATCTATGCTGGACACAACTATGCCACGACCCCACTGTGCTGGGTTTTTGTTTTGTTCATTTTTCAATAAGTTATGACAATTTTTAGAGAAATAAGGGAAAATAATGTTAAAATTTAACGATTTTTAAAATTGTAATTTTTTGGGGGATTTTCACAATTTTGGGGAACGAGGAAAAATTTTTTAATTTTTAAGGGTAAAATCTTTAATGAGATATGATTTTTGAACCTCTGACATAATATTGAGAAAAATCAGTCCAGTGAGAACTGAGAAAAAGTAGTAACAGACAGAAAAAATAGATCATTCGCATCGAAGCTAATAATATGTTTTATTAAGAATAACATTTATAAATGACCGGATTTTTTTATATGATCACTAAAATCACCAAAAAATAGCTGAACCTGCTTTTAAGCTTAGTAAAATGAAGGGAACTGAAATTTAATCATTATATTTTTGCCCTGATGTAAAAAATAGTTAAACCAGTTCAGTTAATAGTTATATCATCATAATTTTACAAAGCATTTACAAAAAAAAAAACATATTAAACGTATATCTAAAATCATAATAACAAAAAAACTGATTTTTTAGGTATTTTTGGCTTGTTGATTCATCAACTTAAAAAGGCTTTAACTTTTAAATTAATTATTTCCAACATTTTTTTTGAAACACTTTTGATATCAGCATATAAAAACAAACGTTTTTAATTAAAATTTGTGAAAGGTGTGGTAAAATGCATTTGTTTTAAAATAAATGTAGAATACATTTTATTTTTTTTTTCATTTTATTTTCTAATATTATTAGTGAACAAAATTTACTGAAAACGATAAGATATTATTCTTAATAAATATTGTATTAATCATTCAATAATTAATAATGTTTACAAAGACTAAAGACTAGTTAAAAGTATAGAACATAGACTTAAGGTTAAATTATCAGAGTTTGATTTGATTTAATTAATTTAGATAAGTGTACAAAATGCCAACGCCGTGAAAGATATTTAAGCAATAATGAGTGTGAAGAATGTGTACTGAAGGAGTGTTCTCCTACCGGTAAATATAGAAATTTGCTTGATTTGTGCTATAGTTGATAAATATAAAAAACAATAAATATAGTAGGTTAGGTTAATGTATAGATTATATAATTTATTTTAGGTAATCAAAAAATATATTTTTTTATTTAATTTAGACAAATGCCTAATGTGTGAAAACAAAGCACTACCGAAGATGGATTGGTGTTCTAGATGTAAAAACAAGCCAAAATGTAAATATAATAAATAGGTTAAGAGTATTTCTTCATTGAAAATTGAATATTTATTTGTCCTTTAGGATACATAACCTCTTCGTACTCACTAAATTATACCTTTGATAAATACACATAAAGATAATTTTGTCATATAGAATGTATACGATTTATATATTCAAATATGTATATATAGATGAGTCTGCATAATCCCTCAGTCAATTATTTAAGTAAGCTGTAAAAAAATATTTTTTGGACTTTTGGCTTTCATGTTAGTTTTTGTTTAAGTGTCTAACAATAATCATCTAAAATTGCTATAGAATATCGTTTTTTAGTTTGTTAGATATCTTGGAGAATACGATCACCTATTTCATTATAATAATTATCACTATTTGGAGAAGGCTGGTAAACTTCAGTAGTAATGTAATGTAGCTTTAAAGAATTGTAACAACCCATTTTTTCAAATCTAAAAATTATCTAGATGAAAATAAACAATACTCATGAAAATTTATGTGGACAGATATAATGTGAAATAATAATAATATAGAAATAATAGATAAATTTTGGTTCTGAAAAACGATATCAAAATAGATATTCAACAGAAATTTTAGCTAATTATTGTTGAACGTTCAGTCAAGAAACTAATTTAGAAGTAAAAAAATCGTCTAGCGTTTTTTCATCTCACTTGAATAATTGACTTAGTTATTACTTAGTTTGAAATAATTTGTTTTATTTTACAAATATAAAAAAGATTGTTTTGATCACAATTATATTATTAAAAATTTTATAATTTCCTCTTTGTTACTAATAAAAATATATTTTTTTTAATTTTCTATTTGGAATGCCCGATTATATAATGAGTAGTATGGCTTCCAGTAAATGCTGTAAGCAAACATATTATCTGATATTTATGGAACGTGGTTAAATTATAGTTCGAAACATTTTCTTTGAGGTATGACAAAAATCAAAAAAATCGAATAGTACTATTTTTTATAAATCAATAGTTTTTAAGCAAAATCAGGCTGTTAATAATTCATAAAACATATTTTTGGATAAGAAAAAAGTCGTGATGTTACTTCATTGTTGGTTTTAGTATAGACTTTTTTTAATTAAAAACTAATGATCGATAAAAAAATGTCTTGGTGGGTTTAATTCCATATATCTTCCCTCGTGAGATCCTTATATGTTCAAAACTACCGATTGTTGAATGAATAAAACGAAAGGTTGCAAAGGATTGTGTGGTCGACAATATGTTTACCATGGTACTCTAAACTGTGTTAAAGTAACGAAGTTATATATAATCAATGTAGTTATTATTTAATTTTAATTATAAAATAATTAAATAAATTATTGAAACATTTTTTTAAATTTAATTTAGTTTACTGCGTACAATGTAAAAATGTGTTACATATATCAAATAATATGGATGTTTGTGCACAATGTTTATCTCAATATGTCTTTGAACCCAAAATTATAAGATAGAATGAAGAAGACATTGAAAAGTATTAGAAAAAAATTATTTTTTCTATAAAAATATTAATTATATTTTTAATACATATAAAATAAAATAGATAATTAAGTTTTTTTTTGTTAATAAAGAATTAAAAAACTTTTTTGTTATACTTTCAAGAATCTATTAATATTTTTACATTTTACGTGAAGCTGTGATTATATTATTTTTACTATGTGTTTTTTTTTTTCACTTTTTTGCGTCTTTCTATACAATTTCGTAGCTTCTACTGGACTTAAAGGATACGACAGAATTAAAGCTGGTCATACATACAATCCTATATTAAATATTCGTCGATATATGCCATATCAGGTTTTTTTAATATCTATATTTATTCTAATATTGTAATAATTGTATTAAAATTCAATAATCAAAGTGGTTTATTACTAACCTTGTAAATAATTGAATAATATCACAGACTATATTTTTACTGAAAAATTAAATAGTATATAAGAATATGGTATGAATATTAGGATGATTTGTGTATTACTTAAAGGCATAGTCGGGAAAACTAAAAGCTTAAGCTATACAAAGATTAATTTTAAAATAAACATATAACAATAACTCATATATTTTACATTGTGCCAAACGATTCAATATAAAGTCTAACGAAATTATAGGATATGGTTTCCTTAATGATTATGATAAATCTATTAATAAAAAATAATTAAAATTCTATTTTTGGGGGAAAATTAAAATTGTGAAAATTTTATAAAATATTCAATTAATAGTAATATAAACATTAATATTAAGGTTTATTGGAATCAGCTAATAAAGTAAAGACGATTAATATTAATGATTCTACTGGTATTATTTATAACCCTATTAATATTAAATATCCTGACTCAAACAATAATGACAGACTGAACATTTAGAATAAAAATCATAGATTAAATTATTTAAATGCTGAAGCAAAATATTCAATAACGGATTTATGGTGTAAATTTAACGATATATTTTAGTAATAAAAGGGAAAATAAAATAATCACTCCCAATGAGCATGAAAGACGGTATAGCTTTCATTTTTTTAACAATTGGTATTTTATCATTATAAAAGATTTGTGGTTATAGTAACATGTAACAAACACTTAGTTGATGAGAAAATCATTTTGAAAAAAAAGTGGAAGGCTGCCATTAAGCCAGAATTGCATTGCAATCACATCATCTGTGACTCTAGAAGCCTCCGAACAAATCTAGAGTAAAACTTTAACAATATTTCTATAGAATTTAGCTTAGTGAATTCAAGTTGTTGTAATAACTTGTACAACAAAATTATACAAAAACTGTTGCATTTCGAAAATATAAAATTGGGTCAGGTAACTTAAAACAATCTAGATTCACAGTTAACTTACCAAGAACATATTGTGGATTTGCTAACACATTAACAAGTATACGAATATTACCAAGATATTAGTTTTATATTTAATATACTTTTCAAAATAATTTGAATAATTACAACAGTATTTGTAAAATATATTTACGTTGAGTATTGTAAAAAAGGTAATAGTGTAAGAAACGAATGAACAGTAAAATCTGAACAAATACCATTAGTCATAGAACGAAATTCTTTTGTAATTACCCTGAGCTAGAACGTGTAATTTCCAACACTAGATTTAGGCGAAGGCTTTTAGACAACCTACACAATTGATAACAATTTAAATGTTTTATTATAATTTTAATTAAGTTCTTTTGCATATGAAATTATCATATAATGTACGTTATTGAATTATTGTTACACAAAGTTAATGACAAATTTTATCTAAAATAAATAACCTGTTACCAACCTAATGTAAGAAATAACATCATGATATAATATTTCATATTAAGGGAAAATATGTTGACACGGTACCGTATATTTTGCGATACGTTTAGTACACGGTAGTGATGGGTCGTTCACGAACGAACGAGTCTTTTTGAACGGGTCATATCAGTGAACGAGTTGATCCGGATCGCAAAAAAAATAGATATCGTTCATACGTTCATTCATTCGTTTGTTTCACGCAATATATCGGACACACTGTTTCATGATTCGTTCATTTACTGAACGTTTACCTGCACTTCGGTTAAAACCTATGCTTAACCTCATATTCTTATAATATAAAAATTTAAAAAAAAAACGAAGAATATATTCTTTATAAGTATATACTTATAATGTTTTCTTAAAAAATTAAATAAATACTCATATGTACCATTTAAATTACATTGGAATAGTTTATTTTAAAAGTGACAATTTTTTTTTAAATAACAATTTATAACATTGACTCAAGTTGTTTTAATTATTTAATTTCTAAAACTTAAATAGCTATCCAACAGGATACAGAATTTTATACCTTGTTAATTAAAAATATATAAAATTTGCAAAAACTGGGTTTGCTAATTTATGATAAGACGCTAAGTATACAGGGTGATTTTTTTATCATAACCCACTCAATTACTTGCAGAATAATCATAATTAAAATTTTTTTTTTTTCATTATCTTTAGTTACACATTATTCTTGAATTTTTAACTATGCAATAATTTTTAAGTTCATCCCTTATGCCTTGGAAAGGGGTCAACTTTGTTTTTTTAAATGGTAACACAAATTTTTAATTTAATAAAATGTTTGAGTTTTTAATTTAATAGTAAATGGCATTTGAATTTTTAATATAACTTAATTCGTTTATTAGATATAAACATTTAAAGTTTCAAAATTTTGAGTTAATATNTTTTTTTTATCATTATACTGGATTTTAAGGGCTTGTGCAATGAAGGATTAGGCTAAAATAATTATAATTTTTCGAAAAGGCGTTAATAATAAATTTATATATCAAAAGTCTGGCGGCGAAACGTCCGCGGCGAAATGTCCTAGACCCACATTTTTATTGCATGTCTGCAGACTAAATTTTCAAAGTTGTGACATGTTTCTACTAACATAATCATGCAGGTTTAATACAGTTAGATTATTTCAAGTATCCTACTTTATTGTTCATTTGAAGAACAATTTTGATTATCAATATATAGCTATTTATTTCATAAATATTACATTCATATAATTATTTATAAGCGAAAATAGGTCTATGAATTAGTGAATTTAGCAACTAGGACAAAAATTGACTATTAGACTAATATAATTGTTGTGAGAGGTATTAAACCACCTCACTCTTTTATAATCTGGTCATAGCTGCTGTAAATTGTAATATCTGATTTAGGTGAATTAATTTCTCTATAAAACTCCTTTTATGAAAACAAATAATTTAAATGATTTCGCATATTATAGAAACAAATTCTATGGATTTATGTACCGCAACTCATCCGCTAGTATAAATTATTTGTTTTTATTCTATACAAAAATATTCGTGTATAACAGCATATTATGTTATTTCAAGTAATTTGTATTTGAAAAAATAATATATAACCCGATTATACAAGTGTATTATCAGNTAATATATAACGCGATTATACAAGTGTATTATCAGAACAAATTCTGATATCACGGTAATGTTACATGGTGAAAATGCGAATTTGAACGACTCGTTCAGGAAAACCATAGTAAGGAGTAATTGATAAGAACCGTGACCGATCGTAAGAAATGAACGAAAGAACGAGTTATATGAACGGGTCATTTGAACGATCCGATCCAAACGATCCGGATCGTTCGATTGACCCGAAATTCCCATCACTAGTACATGGTCACCTCGTCACATCCATTAGCCACCTTATTACATCGCGAGCCCAGCTTGATTAGAGTACCTCGCTTTCTAACTACGGTGCAAAGTCGATCTACTAGAGCGCGGTGGACCACCGAGCGTCGGCGGTGAACACTCTATCTTGCCCTCGACGTCCTACGCGAACTAACGCCATCCGCCTTTTCCTCGCAACGTACGTTGTAAGGTACCTTATATAAATATATATTACTATTTCATAAGTGTATATCATATTCTGTTTTATTTTTGCTCTTTAATTTAAAATAAATAAATATATATAAATATTTCTTTATTTAAAATTTCTTTTGTTTTTTTCCAGGCTAGTGCCGTTGCATCTGTTATTCAGAAGTATTTTAAAAAGGGTTATTGACATTAGAACTATCCGTGTCAATGTCGTGTACGGCATTTTTTTATAATATGTACTAATAGTTCAATAAACAGAGCTCGGAAGTTATAGCAAATGCATTTTTAATTGGTATCACTCAGAGCATTCAAAATAAGATACAAATTTGTTTCACATTTTCCAGATGTCGTACACGAAATTTTATTTTACTAATTTTTGCATGTTTACAGTTTTTGGTGCTATTTTTAGATAGATTATATATATATATAAATATGAATATGAAAACGAAAACTAATAAGTATTTTGATTATCAAATATGATATATTCGATTGTTGTTGTTGATAACACAATTCATATAATTTCCATTAAATTGATAATTTCCCGTCAAACGTACTACCACAGAATAGATTAAACCAGAAGTGACACTCTTAGTTTTTGCTGATAACAAGCTTATGTCGCTCAGTGTTGCCACTTAAGAAATAAAAATGTATTCCCCTTTTTTCTTTATATACGGTCACATTGTTCAACACCATTATTAATGGTTTGTTTGTAAACACAATGTTTATAAAAATGGTTTATTGGTAAATATGAAAAATATATGGTAAATATTGGTATTAATGAATTAGAAAATATTTTTATTAATAACTTTTCCACACTTGCTATTGTAGATGGAGTTGGAGCCGAATTAAAAAATTATTTTTGTAATGTACCTTTTAACCACCCTTGTAAATGTTTTGATAAATTGTATTTAATTAATTTGTTTACAAGATTTAGAATATTTACAGCTATAAAATTTTTAAATAAAAATTTAATGTCTGAGAAAAAAATTAAAATAGGAAATTGTCTATTTTAACTCATCTATAAATTATTTATTTATGTATATGATATTTGTAAATTATTGTAATATATGTTTTAAATAAATTTAATATTATGTGGATATTGAATAATTTTTTTTTCCTAAATAAGTCTTTATTAAATATACATAAAATAAAAAATATATTAACACAAACTAATTACACATAATGAAAACATTAATTGAAAGTTTTAAAATGGTGTTATATGTTTAGAAATAATAATAAAATAAATCCAAAAAATTTACTATGCAAATTTTCTAAAATAATTAGCATGTAAATAATACATTTAGAGTTCAAATCAACCGCCGATGTACAATTATTGTACAGTACAATGAATTATATGCATACAATTATTTATTTTATTGTTTTTATGGTAACACTGAGCGACATAAGCTCAAAATTACCGTACTCTCATAAGAATACATGTAATTTTTTTATCAGTGTCCATTCTGGTTTAATCTATTCTG